AAGTGTATAACATCGTTTCATATGTTTTTGTATAATCTCTATAAAACTTCAAAACTTTTTTGTATTTTAAAATAATCGAAAAAAAATTCAAAAAAGTCGCCAGTGGTAGGAATCTAATCTCAGCTAACTTGTCCAGAAGCTCAGCGCTTTATCCACTTGGCCACACTGGCACATTCTCAAGCCAATATTTTTAAAATAATATAATGATTTTTTTAGGAAAAAAAATGTTATACATCAAAATTAAGGAGCGCTTGACGAAACGCAGTTTTCAAGTAAAAATGAAATTGTAACGCTTAATAAATTTTCAGTATGCTTTAACATATCGCGACGTTAGAATTATCTTATTCTATCTCCATATTTTTTAGTTTTGAGATAAAACGATTTAAAAAACAAAAAACTTTTTTTTTTTTTTTTTTTTATTTAATTTTGCCGTAGAAAGTTACAATTTATAAAATAACATAAATAATAAAACAAATGGCTGGAGCAAGAAGAAGACATCAGTTTGTCTTATCACCAAGCCCCAAAGTGACTTCATTACAGGTCATTTTTTACAACAAAATATATAAAATCGTGATAAACTGTTTCTGATAAAATATGTAAAAATGTGAAAAACTACGTTTTACAATTGATATAACTGTTTATATATAAATTCGTTTAGTAAAATAAATTTAGAACAAGTAAAAGTTAAAACAAATAAAAGAAATAAATTGTGCTAGTTTATTTTTTTACTAAAAAATAAAAAAAAAATTTAAGTCCGTAGATAATAAAAAACGCTTTGATTCAGATTTGAACTGTTCCAGTGTATTTCTTTTGATAGTAACAATCTGGGGAAAAATTTTCCACAAATAAGGTCCGCGGTGTTGGATTGAGTATGAATTTAACTTTAATGTAAATTTTGGGATGACAAAGTTGTTATATGAGAATCTAGTAGGGTATTTATGACTTATTTCTCTAAAATAGTGTTGAAATATCAGCGGAGATAGTCCATTTTTTATTTTGTACATAAACTGTAAAACAAGATGTATGTTAATTTTGTATATATTCAATGCTCCAAGTTTGCATAAGAGAGGCTCACTAGACGATTTTTTACTTACTCCGAAGACAATTCTACAGGCATGTTTTTGTTTACTGTAGAGTTTTTTAAGCTTAGTACAGTTTGTGCTTGCCCAGGCCATGTTACCATAGCTTAGGTGACTATGTAAAACTTTCCTAAATAATATTTAGGAAAGGTTTTACTTTATACATTAATGAAACATTTCTTGAGAGCTTTCTTTTTAAAGTGTTTATATGGAGCTTCCACGACAAATTTTCATCCAAGACCACACCTAGAAAGTCTAAAAAATTTTCTCTTTTTATATTAGTATTATTTATTTTATGATCAGGTAGTTTAAGAGGAATATTTTCGTTTTTATTTGGTTTATGAACTTGGTTTTTTTGACATTCAAAGAGAGTTTCTTACACCTAAACAACTCGTTTATTTTATGCAATTCTTTGTTAACTATGTTAAAAAGTGTCCTAATGTATCTATGCGAATAAAACAAATTGGAGTCATCTGCAAACAAGATTAGATTTAATAAGTTTGATGTTGAATATAAACCATTTATATAGAGTAAAAATAATAATGGTCCCAAGATCGAGCCTTGGGGAACCCTGCAAGTTATGGCGCTATTTGTTGTTTTTATTGTTTCATGCTGAATATATTGCTTTCGGTTTGATAAATAATCTTTAAACCAAAGTAAGTTATTATTTTTTACTCCATACACTTCGAGTTTTTTTAGAAGAATGTCGTGATTTACGGTATCAAAAGCTTTAGAAAGATCAATAAAAACTAAGATCAATATTTGATTAACTAGCTCAATTATAGGATGGTCGGTTGAGTGGTTTTTTTTAAATCCAAATTGTTTACCGTATAAAAAATTGTTTTCCGTCAAATAATTGTAAAGTCTATTATACATGATGCGTTCTAGTAATTTGGAAAAACATGGTAAAACTGATATAGGTCTATAACTATTAGTATCAAAATCATCTCCAGATTTAAAAATAGGGGTGACTCGAGCAATTTTTAGTTTATCCAGGACAATGCCTGATTTTAGCGAAAGATTGAAGATGTGATGCAATGATGGTTCAATGATATCAAATACTGATTTTACGACAAAGCTACTGATATTATCAAAGCCCGCACTTTTGTTGTTTTTTAGATTGTTTAAAGCGGATTGCAATTCGTTAGAATCTAGATGTGTTTCTTTTATAATCTTTTCTGTGGTAAGGTTCTTAATCAAGTAAGAATGAAATGTTGCAGAACTCGACGGAATTTCTGCTGCTAAATTGTGACCCACATTAAGAAAAAAGCTATTTAGATATTCAGCTATTATTATCTTATCACTGACTAATTTACCATCAATTAAAAGCTTTTTCGGGAGATTGCTTTTTGTACAGTTATTATTACCGATTATCTCTTTAATCGAATTCCATGTTTTCTTAGCATTGCTATGGTTTTTTTTAACAAATTTGAATAATAAATCTTTTTTGAGTATTAGGAGACGGCGTATAAATTTTTTTTATAACTTATGTTTATTCCGCAACTTTTTTACTTATAACTTAGATTTCAATTCAGTAGAAAGACATTATTTTGAGTAACAGAACACTATCATTAACTCAATTTTTTCAGAAATTGAAGATAGAACAAGATAATTTTAACGTCGCGATA